CCTGATCCTGGCCACAGACTGACCCTGATCCTGGCCACAGACTGACCCTGATCCTGGCCACAGACTGACCCCTGATCCTGGCCACAGAGTGACCCCTGATGCTGGCCACAGAGTGATCCCTGATGCTGGCCACAGACTGATCCTGATGCTGGCCACAGACTGACCCCTGATCCTGGCCACAGACTGATCCTGATCCTGGCCACAGACTGACCCCTGATCCTGGCCACAGACTGACCCTGATCCTGGCCGCAGACTGATGCTGGCCACAGACTGACCCTGATCCTGGCCACAGACTGACCCCTAATACTGGCCACAGACTGACCCCCGATGCTGGCCACAGACTGATCCTGATGCTGACCACAGACTGACCCCTGATCCTGGCCTCAGACTGACCCCTAATACTGGCCACAGACTGATCCTGATGCTGGTCACAGACTGATCCTGATGCTGACCACAGACTGACCCCTGATCCTGGCCTCAGACTGACCCCTAATACTGGCCACAGACTGATCCTGATGCTGGCCACAGACTGACCCCTGATCCTGGCCACAGGCTGACCCCAAACCTAGCCACAGACTGACCCTAATACTGGCCACAGACTGACTCTGATCCTGGCCACAGACTGACCCCTGATCCTGGCCACAGGCTGACCCTGATCCTGGCCACAGGCTGACCCTGATCCTGGCCACAGGCTGACCCTGATCCTGACCCTTAACCCTTGAGGGCCTCCCAGTCTGTTGTCAAGACAATATCAGGGTAGAATTATGAGAGGAAGGTATGGAACAGGACAGAATGAGGTCCAGTGTGGCTCTCATGGGTGTGTTTATGGAGGGACCCCAGTAAATGGTTATGGAATAGAATGGATATGATAACTTCCCACTCTAGAGTTACAATCCTTGACCTTAAATCAGGGAAGGGAGAGATCCCTATGGGCTGCAGTGGTCAGGGAAGTCTTCCTGGAGGAGGTGAGATTTGAGAAAGAGAGAGGATTGGGGTAGATGGAGAGGAGAAGGCATCCTTAGTGGTGGTCCAAGTCTCCAAGACAGAAATGAGCCTTTGTGTACAGAGGGTCAGTGGAGGGGGGCTACAAGCCGTAATATTGGAGTGGCTGGGCAACACCAGGTTATGGAGAGCCTTGTGTTATCAGCCTAACAAACACTGTCAGCTTGGGAGGTTTTGAGGAGGGGGTGAGGTGATGAGCATGTGGTGCACTTCTTCAGTCATCCCCCCAGAATTGGCTCTCACTCTGGCCCGGGCTTCTTCCCTGCACAGACTTTGGCTTTGCACAGCACATGTCCCCATGGGATGAGAAGCACGTGCTCCGAGGTTCCCCTCTCTACATGGCCCCCGAGATGGTGTGTCGGCGGCAGTACGATGCCCGGGTGGACCTCTGGTCTGTTGGCGTCATCCTGTATGGTAAGGGGCAGTCAGGACACAGGAAGAAAAGGAATGGACAACAGTGCTGGGCAGTGGGCACAGTGTGGATTGTTGTGGAGAGAGCCCTGAGCTGGGGCTTAGGTTCTAAGCTTGGCTCAGACTTGCTGTGTGACCCTAGGAAAGTCATTTCCCTTTGCTCAGTTTTCTAATTTAGAAAATGTGATGGGAGAAGATTAGTTGTTGGCTCAGGGCCTTTTCCTCTCTGAGATGCTGCTCACAAAGTGTTTCCTTTTGACAGAAAGATTCCCCTCATATCTTCCCCAGAAAAACTGGAATCCCAATCTGTCAGCATCTTAGAGCATGGAAATGAAGAGAAAATGGATTCTCTGGTCCACAGAATATAAACTGTGGACAGGCACTATTTCATTTTTGTCTCTGTATCTCCAGTGCCTGCACATAGTAGGTCCTCCATCAATGCCTGTTGTTGACCTCTGTCCAAGCTAGAGCCAGCTGGCTGCTCAGGACATCCCAGATGCCCATTGCTTGGACCTGGGAGGGTATCCGCTTGTCTTAACCTGCAGTTTCGGCTGCCTCTTATCATCTGTGGGCCCAGCGAGGAAGGGAGGGTCCAGGAAGTGAGAGCTGGGACTTCTAAGTTGGCTTGGCTAGGCCCTCAGTCTTCCCCCTCTGTGAGATGGGCCTATCACTTTTTTTCTCTATAGTGTCCCCTGGTAATATGGGGGAAGGAAGGGACTTAGGGAACCTTTCCCAACATCCCCTTCTTCTTTCCCCATTGGGACTTGTAGGGCTTATGAGTCCTCCCCTCAGGGTCTTGTACTGACTGCCCCCCGACTTCCCTCTCTCCCTCCGGTGAACCAGAGGCTCTTTTCGGCCAGCCGCCTTTTGCCTCCAAGTCGTTCACAGAACTGGAGGAGAAGATCCGTAGCAACCAAGTGATTGAGGTAGGGCCAGGGCCCGAGTGGTGGGGCGACATGGGATCCTGAGCGAAGTATGGTCAGGAGTCAGCCACGTGGGAATGGGGGTGGAGAGTGCCAGGCAGCTAGAGATTGTGGATGCCTCCCGGGCTGGGAAGCCCACCTGGGTTCTTGTTCTGACTCTGCCAGGGGCTTCTGTATCACCTGGAACAACTCATTTCTCTCAGCCTCAGTTTCCTCTTTGGTCAAGTGGAGATAGTGGTTCTCCCTTCGGTATAGCCTTGGGCAGAGTCCCTTCACCTCCCCGGGCCTTGATGCTTCCACTCCAAAATGAGTGGTTGGTGGCCCGTGAGATGTTGGACCCCATGGTCCCTGCAGGCCCTGGCCACTTCTCGGGGGTGATGGGGAGTGATTATCTCTGCTAGGGCAGACATGGAGCCCCGCACCAACACCTAGAGGGTCCCCGTCCTGCTCCTCCCTCCCCCCCCGCTCACCAAGGGCTGCGTCTCCCCAGCTCCCCACTCGGCCCCAGCTCTCTCGGAACTGCCGAGACCTCCTCCAGCAGCTCCTGGAGCGGGACCCCGACAGGCGCATCTCTTTCAAGGAATTCTTCAATCATCCCTTTGTAGACCTTGAGCATATGCCAAGTGTCCAGAGCCTAGAGCAGGCGGTGAGTGGAGTGGGGGGGGGGGTCTGGCCAGGGGGAGGTGGTAGTTTGGGGACATTGGGAGTCTAGGGGCCCCAGGAGCCCCTGACCCTGCCTCCCCTGGACTTCTGCCTCCATCCCTTCTTAGACTGCCCTGGTTGTGGATGCTGTGAAGAAGGACCAGGAAGGAGATTTCTCGTCTGCCCTGTCTCTCTACTGCAAAGCTCTAGACTACTTCATTCCAGCCTTACACTGTGAGTAGCCCCCAGCTGCCCTCATTCCTTCCCCCAAGAGTCCGAGAAGCCCAGCCCCTCCCAAAAAGTCTATAGGGGCTAACGCTGAGGCAGAAGGGATTTAGGTTAGATGGAAGGAAGAACTTCCTGGCTGGAAAGATATGGTGGGAGATTGGGGGCGGCCGGCACTGAGGCCCAGCCGGAGGGGATTCCCTGTAGCTCATTCAGGGTAGGCAGGAGGAGGCTTAAGCAATGGCTTGCCCTACCCACGTGCTCTAGGACCTGGTGTATTTGAGGCCTCCTGGGGGACTTAGAACCCTGAAGATCCCCCAGGTGACCTTCTGACCCCCATTCCTCTCTCAGATGAAGTGGATGCCAGACGCAAGGAGGCGATAAAGGCGAAGGTCAGTGAGAGCCCTGTGAGCAGTGAGTATGCAATGGCGCTCTGCACCCTCTGTAGCAATCTCAGATCATCCTTATCCCCAAGGAACCCTTACAGAGTGCGATTCTCTGTGCCTTGGTTTCCTCCTCAGTAACATAGGGCTAAGCAAGAGTGATGTCCTCTATCCATAAGTAATCTTGTGATGTTTGCCCTTCCCACACTGGGACCTTCAGAGAGGACCATGGTGCCTTCCTTCTCCTGAGCCAATAAACACCCACCTGGGGGTGGGGTGGGGTGTATGTGTGGGTGTTTGTGTGTGTGTGTGTGTGTGTGTGCGCGTGTGTGTGCGCGCGCGCGCACGCACGTTTACCGGGCCCATCTCATCCTTCACCTCCTCGCAGGTGGGACAATACGTGTCAAGGGCTGAGGAGCTCAAAGCCCTGGTCAATTCCTCCAACCGGGCCCTTCTCCAGCAGGGCACCTGTGCCCAAGACCTTCTCAAAGGTACCCCCGCCATCTCAGCTTGGTTTCCACTTCTAAAGCTGCCTTCACGGCTTCCTTTCCTCCCCACTGCTCTGACTGTGATTTGCACCAATGATCCCCTTACGTCTGGCTCTCTCACCCTCCTCTTCCTCATCCTATAGAATCCATGGCTTCCTTCAGAGCCCAGCCCAGGGGTCACGTCATACATCAGGCCTTTCCTTCTCCCACCGCTTGTTACCGTTCTCCCTCTCTTGAAATAACCTCATATTTATTTACTTGGGGACCTGGTGTATCCCTCAGTAGAATGTAAGCTCCCTGAGGACAGGGATTGTTTTGGTTTTGAATCCCCAGTGCCCAGCACAATGCTTCCCAGTAGTGGGTACTGAGTTAATAAATACCTGTTGAATTGGAACCCCCATTTTGTGGGTTTGGACAGGGGGATTGACTCGCCCACCATCTCTCGAGGGCGTCAGGCTAGAGACTTGCACCCAGGCCTCCTGACTCCTAGACCACACCAAGCGGCCCAATGGTTCTGTGTTCCCTTGGATTCCACTCCTCATAGCCTGAATCCCCCTGATCTATTGGAGAACACAGAGTCGATTACTTAATTGGGCCATGCTTATAGCACAGAGCCCATACATGCTTAAGTATTTAAGTAAGGTGTGTGTGGACAAAAGTCAAAGCATTTAGAGACAGTGTCATGCAGGGGAAAGCCAGTGTCTAAGGGCCTATGTTCAAATCCTCCTTGCCTCTACTGGCTGTGCCTTTGAGAAAGTTCTCTGGGCTTCAATGGAACAAGGGCTGGGCCAGGTGCTTCCTAAGATCCAACTTGAGTCAGATTGTGCTTGGGTTAGATTCAAGTCGAGCTAATGGGGCTTCGCTTCCCAAGCGGAGGGAGTCTTTCACCTGTGTTTGGAGGGTGGCACGGGGGTAGTAGCCTCTTTAATCCTCCCTCTGTCCCTAACCCTGACCCTGTTGTTACAGAAATGGCCAGAGACAAGCCACGACTTGTGGCTGCCCTGGAGGTGGCTTCGGTGGCTATGGCCAAGGTGAGTGCCCGTGGCGATATGGAGACTGGCATGGTAGGGCGGGCTTCTCTGGGACCCCTCTCCTTCCCACCATGACCTTCATAGGCATTCTAACCTCTCTTATAGGAGGAGGAGGGCCAGGACGATGGAGATGCCCTGGACCTGTACCAGCAGAGCCTCGGGGAACTGCTCTTGCTCTTAGCAGGTGAGTGAGACCGGTGCTGCCTACCTGGCTTTCTCCACACCCCTCCCCTGCCCCAGGCCTCGGCCTCACGAAGCCCCCTTTTCTTTGCAGCTGAACCTACTGGGAGGAGGCGGGAGCTGTTACATGCCGAGGTAGGCCTGGTAGCTGCCACTCTCTTCTCTTCCCTCCCTTGTCTGTGCCCCATGAGACTCACAAACAGAAACATTGGGGGGCCATTAAGTAGTAGCTTGTGTGGCGCTAACAGAATCCTTGCAGGATTTCTGAAGGAGATCAGAGATGGGAAGAGACCTGTGGGGGCTGAGGTGGTCCAAGAAGGCTTCTGTGGGAAGTCATCAAGTGGGAGCCCCCTGGCCTGTCTGGGGGGAGAGTGTGGCTAAGGGGAGCTGGTGGCCTCTGTCTCCGACAGATCCAGACCCTGATGGGGCGAGCAGAGTACCTGAAAGAGCAAATCAAGGTATGGGGGCTGGACACCTCTATTGCTCACTGTCTTTGGGTGTATCTCTCCAGCTCTCCACGTCCTCATCCGTCTCTCGTCGTCTGCCCCTGTGTCTCCCCATCTCCTAGTTTTCCTCATTTTTCAGTATCTTTATCTCTCCCATCTCATTATCTGTGTCTGCCTCTGCATTCCCTCTCATTTCTCAGTTTTCACTGTCTCTGTGTTTTTCTCCCAGATGAAGGAGACCCGATTGGAAGCTGAGTCGGTGGACAAAGATGGGCTGTCCGAGTCTGTCCGAAGCTGTGAGTACTGGCAGTTTGTCACCAGAAAAGAGCAGAAGAGAGGCCTGGTGAGGGGAGGAGGCTTGGGGAAAAAGGAGCCTGGGGCAGCCACACACTCCCCATTTCTCCAGTCCAGGGAAGGTGGGGACCTCAGGACCTCTGAGTGGCTCCTGACCCCCCCAGCCCTGGTTGCTCACTCCTGCTCCTTCTTTCTCTCCTGTACAGCCTGTACTCTCCAGTGACCTGTGGGCCTGATCTCTGGAGTCCTGTCACCAGATGCAAGCCTTGAGGAGGGTGGCAGGGGGAAAGGGCAGAGAAATGTAGCCTTCTGGGAGATCAGGGTACAAACCATCCTGGGGAGAGTGGTCCTGTGAGGGAGGGACTCTGGGATTCTACCTCCTACCCCCAGAAAGGGAGATTAAGGGCCCCATTTCTGACCAACAAGGTCCTTCTGTCTGCTGGAGTTCCTAATCTCATTCTTGTGTTCCCCCTAAGGGGATTCCCTGGAAGAAGAGGGTTCTGGAATCATGACTCCATCCTCTCCTGCCACTTTGGCTAACACTGGGTGCTTCCTTTGCTGAGTGGGCTGAGTTCTCTGGCAGTTATTTCTAAGCATGGCTGGGGGACTTCTCTATTACTGCCCCCCTCCATTTCTTTTCCCCTGTCACTCCCCAAACCCACTGGAAGGGCAGAGATGCTTAACTGGTGATTGTCCCCTTGACATTTTTCTCCTTTGACCTGGAGGTCTTTTATTTAGGAAACTGACTGAGGCCTAGTGGACTGGGCCACACTTCCTGGCCGTGGCTAAACTGATCCTCCCAGAATCGGGGAGAATGAAACTGACCTCACTTTTCTGACCCAGGAACCCTTCTCATAGTTAAAGAGGGGGCCTTGTTGTTTCATTCAAACATGCTTTCCTAAACAGGGTGTGGAGCCCTCTATATAACACCTGGTTGTGGCGCACCCATCACTAACCTGGCTTTGCCTAGCCAGGCCTCTCTTCCTAGCTGTGTGCTAAATCCTCATCCTTGGACCCTTCCCTCTGGACTTTCCTAGCTGGCACTCATGGCCATTAGCCAGAGTCAGTGTGCACTGAGATCCCCACTCAGGGTCCCCTTTCCCAGTCCCCTTGGAATCAGACCATCCTTCCCAAACAGCTAGGTGTATTAGCTGTGTCAGAGACAATCTTGGTTTAACAAAATAATAATCCTTTAAACTTGAAACCTCATCTATACTTACTGGGGGAAGTCAGTTCAGCGGCACGTATGTGGTGGTAGAGGAAGTGACCAGGAGATGGCAGACTGATTTTTTTAAATCGGATCCCATCCCTGGGAAGCAAGGGATCGGTGTGGGGAAGAGGGGACACGCTCTCCCAAGCCTGGAATGCATCACTTCCCCACCCCAAATCCATTGCATGGATAAAGGATGTAGGCTTTGGGGCTGCTTAGGGCTGCAGAGATTGAAGGTGGCTGTTTGTGGGGCTGGTTGGTTTCTGTCTGAATGGCTTCCAGATGCAGTTAAACTAGTCCAGGCACAGGAGTCAAGAAACCCACCCTTGGTTGGCTTCAAGATCTCCAGCAAGGCCTTTTGGACTTCAGTTTGCTTGTCTGTGAAATGGGAGTGATTCTCAGTATATGCTACCCTTCTCCCCTGACAGGACTGTTAAAAAAAATTGAATGAGATGAAAATGCCTGGAGAATACAAAATGCTTTGCTAGTGAGAGGCAGCATCACATTCCTTTGGGTTGGTTTAAAAACAAAACAGAACCAAGCCCTGGAGAGAGTTCTGTGATGATAATATTTAGATGGTGTTTGAAAGTTTCCAAAAGGCTGTATACATATTACCTTGTTTGATCCTCACAACAATCAGTGAGGTAGGTGCTATTTTCACTCCCATTTCGTAGATAAGGAAAACTGAGTCAGAGAGAGGTAGTGACTTAACCTGGGGTCACGTAGCTAGTAAGTATCTATGCCAGAATTGCCCTCCCATCCACAGTCTGGTTAAAGAGAATATGCTTTACTGTTTTCTCAATTAAATTATTTTCTAAAGTCATCGGTCCTCTTCTTCTCCTCCTCCTGGGAGTTGCCCCCTGGCAATGGGGGTGGGGAACTCTGTTACTTTCTTGGGGAAGGGACAGGACCTGGGTCACTTCAGGTTGAGGGTAGAGCCCCAGCCTCCAGGGAGGGGAGTCTGGTGATGTGGGGCGGGGTGCAGCAGAGGGTTAGAGGAGACACAGGGACTATATCCTTTTCCATAGTATCTTGGGGGTTCCATATCAGGTCAGCTAATGCTGGCTGGTCCCTCCTAAGGAAAACATCATGTTTAGCTTTTAGTTGTTCCCACCTGAAGACCACCAACACAGACGAACCCTCAACTGTTGCCATTTCCCTGGCTGGAGTCCCTTCCAGTGCGTAGCCTGGGTGCCCCTGGTGCACGGTGGCGATGCTTCCAGCTCCCTCTGCCAGTGCAGGGTCTGGAAGGAGCCATGGCCCAAGAGTGGGACTCCCCTCAACCCTGTATGTAACAGGATTGGGATGAGAGATGGTTTGACCAGGAGTAAGACCAGACCCCCAACCCAGTCCTAAGGCTTTTAGCTGTACAACATTTGGTTCTAGCTGTATTCTCAGGAGGGATCACAGGGGCCCAGAGACCAATGCTGAGTGGGCACAGCATAAAGAATACAGAATTTGGAGTTAGTGGACCTGAGTTCAAATCCAGGCCTTGCTACATTCTACTTTGTGACTTTAGGCAAGGTCGTGACTGGATAAAATACAGACTCTGGTTTGGCATATAAAGCCTGCACAATCTGGCTTCAGCTTACCTGTCCAGGCTTATTATCCATTAATTCCCTTTATGAGTCCTACCCCCCAGCCAAACTGGACCACCTGCTTTCCCCATATACAGTATTCTGCTTCCCTCTTCCATGTCATGCATGGTAAACGACTCCCCATGCTTGGAATGCACTCCGTCCTCACCTCTGCCACATAGACTCCCCAGCCTTCTTCAAGACTTGGATCTACCACCACCTCCTATTCAGGGGAGGCCTACCCTGAGCCCCCAAGTTGACAGGGGGCCCCCATGACTTTGCACATATTCTGTGTTAATCTGTGTACAGGTTGTTTCCCCTCCCCCTCCTCCCATTCCAAGAATGTAAACTCCTTGAGGACAGGAGCTGTTTGGTTTTTGTCCTAAGCACAATGCCTGGCACATGGGTGCTTAATAAATGCTTACTGGAAACTAACCTCGCTGGCCTTCAGTTTCCTCCTCTGTAAGGGGCGAAGGGTGGATCTCGAAGGTGCCTTCCAGTTCTGAATCTTTGAATCCATGAAAAGGCTTGGGAAGCCTCCCTACCTTCCAACCTTCCAAGGCCCCCCACAATCAGTGTTTGGAAAGCTACCCTGGAGTGTAACGCTGCTGAGAATGGATGGAACAATCTCATATTTTATTTTAGTAAAAGGAGGGTCCAGGACCAGGGGGCCCTGTTGACATTTTTACAACATAAATAAACTTCAAACAGATTTGTTTTCTATACAACACCTTTGCGGAGAGGGAAGCTCCCCTCCCAGCCCTGTACAATATTCACATGGGAACAGTTGCCCAAAGAGAGTCTGGTCTGGTCCCTGGCTGGCTGGTGGCCTTTAGAGAACATTCTGATGGGGGGGGGAGGCAGAAGGAGGGAGGAGGACAAGCTGCCAGAGAGGAGTTGGCTCAGGATTCATTGAAATGGCCCAGGAAGACGGAGAATGGAGACAGCAGTCAGTGACAGGATCCTGCATTTATGGAGTGGTGCCGTGAGAAGAGTGGGATCAGCTCCATCCTGCATGAAATGATAGCAAGGGAGAGAATGCCCCATTAAGGAGGGATGAGGGAGAAGAAATGGTGGGGGGGGGGGGCTTTGGGCATTGGAAAAAGGGGGGGGGGGGGGGAGCTAAGTGGCACAGTGGATAGAGCACCGACCCTGGAGTCAGGAAGACCTGAGTTCAAATCCAGCCTCAGACACTTGACACTTACTAGCTGTGTGACCTTGGGCAAGTCACTTAACCCCATTGCCTACAAAAAAAAAGAAAAGAAAGAAGGAAGGAAAAGGAGGGTAGGGGTGGCCAACCATAGAAAAGTTCCACCCTTGAACTTTCCTCTGACTATTAAAATCTGGATCCCTGAATCTAGGAGGAATGATGGGTTTGGGTTAGAGACATGCAGAAAATCAAACAGGTGGTGAGGCAGTTCTGAAAAGACAAAAACCAAGGAGTGTTGGAGAGGGGAAAGGGAGCAAGGATTTTGCTGTGTCTCCCTTCACCCTAACAACTTCAAAGTTGACTCCTTTGTCCAGGTGCCCTCCCCGGGCTCATTCACCAGTCCTGGTTCCTTATGTGGGAGAAGAGAAGGGAAGATCTAGGAAGGCTGTGTTAGCTCCGGAGGCTACTTTACTTGAGGAGTAGGGCAGAAATCTGGTCCTTCTCCCTAGCCCCCAACAGGATGTCTCTCAAAAAAAGCTCCATTCATTCATTGGAGTCTGTTTTTCATATTTCCACCTGCATTATTCTTGATGCATTTTTTTTTTTCCTGTGGGTAATCTGTAGAGGCCGATTTCCAATGCATGTAGGGAAAACTTCCTAACAATCTGAGCTGACCCATAGCAGAATGGGCTGCCAAGAGAGGCAGAGAGCTCTCCATCAGGGGAAATCTTCGACCAGAGGCTGGACGACCAGTATTGTCAGAAACGTCGTTAATTCTCGTTCAGGTGTGGGTGGCATCAGACAGTCTCTGAGCTCCATTCCCACTGAGTTTCTACTCGTAGGAGGGATGAGGCCTGGAGAGTGGTACAGGGGGTTTAGGGGTGGAGGGAAGTCCCTCTGGGACTTCCACCCTCTTGGCTCTGGCTTCTCAGTTTTTAGGAGTCCTGTTGCCCCTGGGGGTGTTAGAGGACATAGATGGGGTCTGGACCTCAGTCACAGCAAGGGGGGTGTTTTGGGGGGTCACCCTCACTCCCAGGGTCCAAGTGTGGGAAGGTCCATTCTCCTAGAGGCCGGAGAGGAGCCAGAGCGCCAGCCCCAGGAGGCCCAGGGCCAGGGCCCTCCCTGAGAGTCCCCGCTCCTGCCCCAACCCTGGCCGCAGCGGTTCGGCTCGGGAACGGCCCCACAGAGTCTCGCTGGGGCCGTGGGGAGGGGGCGGTGACGTCTCCTCTTCGTCCTCATAGTCATCGTCCTCGGCCTCTGCCGCGGCGACGGCGGCCGCGGGGCCGAAGCACAAGCGGCCCATGTTGTCCTTGAGCACCTGGCAGAAGGGCCGCTCGGCGCCGTCGCACACGCAGCGCTCCAGCAGCGGGCCCCCGGCGGTGGCCAGCAGCGCCCCGATGGCCGCGCGGCACGCGGCCGTGCAGCGGCGCCCGTTAAACAGCTGCCCGCAGCGGGCCAGGTAGGAGGCCAGCGTGTCCCGGCAGGCGGGCTCGGCCTGGCAGCGGCGTCGGGCCGCGGTGCAGCCCAGGCCACCGCGCGCAGGCCGCGGTAGGCACGGCTCGAGGGCCGCCTTGAGACGGCGGCAGCGCGCGTCGGCCCCGCACTCGCAGTGCTCCAGGGCCGGCCCGCGCTCCGTGCCGTTGAGCTGCAGTAGAGCGCCCACGCAGTGGCTGGGGCAGCCCCCGGCGCCCCCCAGCACCGGCTCGCACGCCGCCTGGCTCTGGCTGTAGGCCGAGCTGCACGCCGGCTCCCCCTGGCAACGCAGCAGCGCCTCCCAGCACGGTTCCCCGGGCGCCGAACCGGCCGCTTCGGCCCGCAGCGACGGCAGGAGCAGGAGCAGGAGCGGGAGCACTGGCCCGCGGCCGCTGTCCCCCCGGCCCCGCGCCGGCCTCATGGCCCCCGTGGGCTCCCGGACGCCGCCATGCGCTCCCAGGGCCACCTCCAGCCCGGATGCCTACAGACCACCGCGCGCCGCACGCTCCAGGGTCTCGGTTCCGACGGCAGGAAGTCCTGGACCTGGGCTTGCCCAATCAGCCGCACCAAGCACCTGCCTTAGGCTGCGGCCACCCCCGGGGCCTGAGAGACAGACGCGTGTGTGTGGGGCGGGGGGGGGGGGGAGAGTTAGCCCCAGGTCTCCTTGTCCCTTACGTCCAATCCGCTTCGTTCCGTTTTTCCTGCCTGGTGTCCAGTACTTCCCGTCTCCCTGATCCAGGCTATCCCTCCGGGTTTGCTCTGGTCCTGGTGGCTCTCAGCTCTCGGGTCCCGGACTCCTCCGTTGGGCCCAGATTCTTCCAGCTCCTGGCCGCCCAGTAGGAGATCTCCCGCTTCTCCTCCTCCTCCCGCCGCCGCCTCCCACCTTCCCGCGGCTGGACCGGGGGTGGGGATAGTGCTCCATTCAGAACCCGGCAGCCCCCCGGCCTATTGTTCGGGTCCTCTCCCCTCCTGCTGCCAAGGGGACTGGCCTCGCGGACGGCCCACACCTCCCCGCCCCGCCCCCCGGCCCTCTCCGAGACTGTACAGTCGGGAGGAGGGAACAGCCAGTGTGGTCCCTGTAGCTGTCCCCAGAGACGTGCGTGACGCCCGAGACACCGCAACTCCCGGGAACCCTTCCATGAAAGGGGGGAGGAGACCCCGAGAAAGGGAATGGGGAGCGGGAGCCGACGCTGTCCCAGAAAACAGCGGGGGCCCCCAGAGTCCTGGTTTCCAGCCTGGAGCCCCTTGCCCCTCTCGAGGACACTTCCGTATCCCTTCCTGCCCACTGAGCATCTCTGGAGCAGAAGGCATACGACCATGAGGAAACTGAGGCACTGAGCAGTGTTTGTAGAGAAGCCTGGAAGGGTTCCTTCCCTGGGGGCTGGCCTCCTCCTCTAAGTGAGGCCCGGAGGGGCTGGGGCTGGGGCTGGGTAGCCGAGGGGGCGGGGCAGGACTGCCGGGCGGTTGGAGGCTTTAGAGTCTGAAAGCGACCCGGGAGAATAGAATCGCATTTTCTGGCCGGGTTCACTCCCTTTGTCCCCGCGGGGGTCTGCGGGGAGCCGAGGCCCGAGATTGTTCATGCCTTGCCTCTGGTCAAAGGCGCTTTTCTGTCCCGGCCTCCCC